CATGTTGACCAGGATGGTCTCGATCTCTTGACCTCGTGATCCACCTGCCTCGGCCTCCCAAAGTGCTGGGATTACAGGCTTGAGCCACCGCGCCCGGCCTAAATGCCCATTTTCTGCCAGTTACCATGCTGAAGATTAATGTCTGTCTTCAGAAATAGCATAGTATTTGAACTCTGGTTGTGGTAATTCTTTTTGAGATAGGGCCCTGGTTATGGTAATTCTTTTTGAGATGGGGCGCAGAGATTCTGCTACTTTTATATTTGCAAAGTTGATACCCTGTTTTAGAATACCAAGGTTATCCAAACTTTCTTCATGTGTTTCCCAGTCCTTTTAATGCCCTTTAAAAGCAGATAATGATCTCATTTGTTGCTAACTAAGCTTGCAGTTAATTTTATTTTAATGGAATAAGAATATGGATACCTGTCTTTAAGAAGAGAATAAGCAAGTAAACCTAGGGGAAGTATCCGGTTGTAAAAACATGCAGACGATCCTTGCCAAAACCCTGGCATGGGAATGTGAACCCTCTTGTATGAAAAGTCTGCCCTTTGCAGACTCAGGTTCTGTATCCCATGAATGCTGTATGTTTGATCCCAGTACTTTATTTTTATCTGAGTTTTGTTGAAAACAATCCATGTATAAGTGGACCCATGCAGCTAAAACCTGGGTTGTTCAAGGGCCAACTATAATAACTTATAAACTGGAATTTATATTGAATAGCATCCACGATACTTTAGTATTATAACTAAAATTCTACATACTGAGTAGGTAGAATGCCCAGTAACTAGATAACAGGTATATCACCTAGCCTTAGTGATAAATTTAGCTGTTTTCAAACTATCACTCACAGATCTCTACCACAGTACTTGTTATGTGAAGTTCCTGGTTTGTTCTCAAAATTTTATGTTTACATATGCATAGATACAGGTACTTATATAGTGGTTAAATATGTACAATTCAAATATCTAAAATTGTCTTTAAGATTTTTTAAAGTAAAAATATTATTGGCTGGCCATGGTGGCTAATGCCTATAATCCCAACACTTTGGGAGGCCGAGGTGGGTGGATCACCCGAAGTTGGGAGTTCCAGACCAGCCTGGCCAAAATGGCCCCGTTTCTACTGAAAATACAAAAATTAGTTGGGCGTGGTGGCTCATGCCTATAGTCCCAGCTATTCGGGAGACTGAGGCAGGAGAATTGCTTTAACCTGGGAGGTGGAGGTTGCAGTGAGCTAAGATCATGCCATTGCACTCCAGCCTGGTGACAGCAAGACTCCGTCTCAAAAAATAAAAAAGGCCGGGCATGGTGGACTACACCTGTAATCCCAGCACTTTGGGAGGCCAAGGTGGGCGGATCATGAGGTCAGGAGTTCAAGACCAGCCTGACCAATATGGTGAAATCCCATCTCTACCAAAAATACGAAATTAGCTGGATGAGAGAGAGAGAAAATTACATGGAAATGCCAGGTTTGATATGTTCGCTCCAAGACTTTGCAGTTTAATGGAGTGGATGCATGTGTCATGCTAAAATAGAAACAGACCTGTGGAGATAAATATGATGATGGTTTCTCAGATGATTAAAATGACTGCTACCAGATTAAGGTAGTCACAAAGCAGCCTTCTATAATGGCAGCAGAGATTACAAACTAGGCAACAAGGATCATAAAGTACGCAGGGACCAATTTAAAGAAAAAAATATATACATTTCATGTCATAGAAATATGGTTTATGTGTTCATAGGACAGAATGACTTGCTCAGTGAAACAAACTATATACAATTAGCTCAGAAACAAATGATATACTCAGGTTTTTATCTGTTTGCTGTATCCCATGAGAAAGATTCAAGAGGGGAAGGCAGGGTGTAATGGCTCATGCCTGTAATCCCAGCACTTTGAGAGGCTGAGGCAGTTGGATTGCTTGAGCCCAGGAGTTTAAGACCCACCTGGGCTGCATGGTGAAACCTTGTCTCTACCAAAAAAGAAAAAAGTACAAAATTAGCCAGGTGTGGTGGCACATGCCTGTAGTCCCAGGTACTCAGGAGGCTGAGGCAGGAGGTCAAGATTGCAGTGAGCCTTGATCGCACTATCGTGCTCTGGTCTGGGTGACAGAGGGAGACTGTCTTTAAAAAAAAAAAAAAAAAAAATTAAAGAGGGAAAGAAGCAAGCCAATAATCTAAGATCAATTTAGATTTTTCCCCTAAATTCTGCCTTCAACACAGTTTACTTAATCTGAAAACCGGGATTTAATAGTATGATTAGAATATCTTGTAAAGTAGGGTTGAGATTGGTCATAGTAAAAAATGCTATTGGAAGATCGTCTTCTTTTGAGGAATCTCAAAATCAAGTGGGACAAATCAAGTAGTTTTGGTGCGCGCGCGGGTGTGTGTGTGTGTGTGTGTGTGTGTGTTTTAATTAGAGACAAGGTCTTAACCGCATTTCCCAGGCTGGTTTCAAACTCCTAGTCTCAAGCAATTCTCCTGTCTCAGCCTCCCAAAGGTGCTGGGATTACAAGTGTGAGCCACACCTCAAGTAGCTTTTAAAAACTCAGTTTGACATACCAATTTTTTGGTCAGATTTCTAGTTGTTTAGAATTTATAATAAGCATGGGTAAGTAAAATAAGCCATAAATACTTTATGGGAACATTTATGAGTATGCTATTAGAAATAATACCTAGGGCTGGGCATGATCCTTACATGTATAGTCCTTGCTATTTCGGAGGCTAAGGTGAAGGATCTCTTGAGCCCAAGAGTTCAAGACGAGCCTGGGTACTATGATGGGTCCCCATCTCTTAAAAAAGAAAGAAAGAATAACTAAATTAGTGTAAGAACTAATTTCTCAGTTTGTATAAATTATTAATATGCCAAATATAATTTAGATGCTTTTTCAAAAGAGCACTGGTACTCAAAACCCTGATTCAATTTTTTAGTCCTCATAGAATTTTTATATGAAGATTTTATGTTTGTCAGGTTAGCTCTTCATGTTGTATAGGTTTTTTTTTTCGGCCTTGTATTTTAATGTGTTGTTTAACGTATGTTTATTACATATTTTTTCTTTGTCTTTCTTTTTTGTGTGTGTGCGGATTTGTAGTTTAATGGATGATAGCTGCTATTAGCATTCATTCTAAAAGACAGTGAGCATAATAAAGTGTTCTCTACTTGAATTCGTTAACCTGTCTTTTGAAACAGTTAAGTGAATTTTGTATAATAAAGAAGCTAATTTTGAGATAAAAAATATTTGGCATAAAATTAAATACTGTAAGAATATTTTTATTAAGGTGTAACATATGTATATGGATTTGTTTGGTCTTGTTTTTGTTTTTGTTTTGAGATGGATCTCACTGTGATTGCTGGAGCGCAGCAATCCCAGATGACTGCAACCTCCACCTCCTGGGTTCAGGTGATTCTCCTGCCTCAGTCTCCCTGGCAGCTGGGATTACAGGCACTTGTCACTACACCCAGCTCATTTTTTATATTTAGTAGAGACCGGGTTTCAACATGTTGGCCAGGCTGGTCTTGAACTCCTGACCTCAAGTGATCCACCGCCTTGGCCTCACAAAGTGCTAGAATTACAGGCATGAGCCATCACCCCCAGCCGGTATAACACACATTTTAAAATATATAATACATCTAAAAAACTATTGGACAGTAATAAATTATTACTGTGGTAGGTACTAACTTACTTTAACAACGTAATGCTATAAAAGGAAAGACTTAGAAACTGTTATTACCCTTTGATAGCCCTTTAGCAACATGCCTAGATACTGCTTGAGATTAGTATCACTTCTGCAACAAGATTTTCATAGGGGAAGGCCGGGCGCGGTGGCTCAAGCCTGTAATCCCAGCACTTTGGGAGGCCGAGGCGGGTGGATCACGAGGTCAAGAGATAGAGACCATCCTGGTCAACACGGTGAAACCCCGTCTCTACTAAAAATACAAAAAATTAGCTGGGCATGGTGGCGCGTGCCTGTAATCCCAGCTACTTAGGAGGCTGAGGCAGGAGAATCGCCTGAACCCAGGGGGTGGAGGTTGCAGTGAGCCGAGATCGCACCATTGCACTCCAGTCCAGCCTGGGTAACAAGAGCGAAACTCCGTCCCAAAAAAAAAAAATAGCAACATCAAATGATTCGAATGGCTGCATTTTACAAGGGAATTTGTAAAAGTTACCTAATAACTATAATAATGGAAGATGTTAACAACGGAGGATCTGAGTGTAGAGTATATAGGAACTCTAATATCTTTGCCACTTTTTTGTAAATCTAAAACTTCTAAAATTGTTTAAATTTAAAAATCCTAATTATTTAACAATAATTTAGTTCACTAATAAATTGATTTGAAAGAGTTAGTATTTTTTATTCCTGCCTTCACTGGAAGACTGGAAGAAAATCAGTTGAACTTGTTTTCCCCATTTCTTTTTTTAGGATTCAAGATGACCAACGAAGAACCTCTTCCCAAAAAGGTATGGTTTTTGGTTTTGGGGTTGGTGTGTGTGTTTTTTTTTTTTTTTTTTTTATGTTTTTGCCTTTATAAGAATAATAGCATTGGAGTTGTATAATGTGCTAGATATTGTATGTTATATCCGGTATATTTTTAGAATATTTTCAGATTTTGGAAAACTTTAGTTATAATAATATTTCTGTGGTCTACTCTTAACCTTCATTATGTGAATATTCCAGCTACATATCTACAAATAATGTCAAAAGTGGAGATTATGAGTTTCTATATTGTTTTCTCTTTTTTTGAGACGGAGTTTCGCTCTTGTTGCCCAGGCTAGAGTGCAGTGGCACAATCTCAGCTCATCACAACTTCTCCCTCCTGGGTTCAAGCGATTCTCCTGCCTCAGTCTCCCAAGTAGCTGGAATTACAGGCATGTGCCACCATGCCCAGCTAATTTTTGTATTTTTAGTAGAGACAGGGTTTCTCCATGTTGGTCAGGCTGGCCTTGAACTCCCAACCTCATGTGATCTGCCCGCCTCGGTCTCCCAAAATGCTGGGATTACAGGCGTGAGCCACCATGCCTGCCCCTCCCCCCACACACACTTCCCCCCCGAGACAGAATCCCTCTGGGTTCAAGCGATTCTCTGCCTCAGTCTCCCGAGTAGCTGGGATTACAGGCGTGCACCACCATGCCCGGCCAACTTTTGTATTTTTAGTGGAGACAGGGTTTCATCTTGTCGGTCAGGCTGGTCTCTAGCTCCTGACCTTATGATCCACCTGCCTTGGCCTCCCAAAGTGCTGGGAACACACCAGGCCATTCCTATATTATTCATTCTTCTTGTCCTAGTGTAAATCCCTTTGATTGTAATTTTTCTATTTAAAAAAAAAAAATTTTTTTTTCAAAAACAAAAAATGGTTATAGCTAGTTTTCAGATTCTGCCTTTTTCTCTGAAGATTTGTTGTTTAGTCTCAATCTTCCCCTGTTGTACATTTCCTACCTAGAGTTTAGTTACTTGTACACACACACACACACACACACACACACACACACACACACACACACACTGGGTATTATAAAAGCGGTAACAGTTTTTAGGAGGAATTTGTAGTTCAGTTGGGAAAGCAGGGCTTATACTTACTAAACTGAATATTTATGTGAATAATTTAGATATTATAGAAGTTTCTGTCCTGCTTTGGAGTCAAATAATTCATAAAATGAATAAAAGATTGTACTGTGCTTTCATAGTCTCAGAATTACTGTGTGCTCCCTCTGGTAACAGTGTCTTTTTTTCCTCCTTTGGGATAGGGTCTTGCTCTGTCACCCAGGCTGGAGTGCAGTGGTGAATATCGGCTCACTGCAGCCTCCGCTTCCTGGGCTCAAGTATTCATCCCACCTCAGCCTCCTGAGTATCTAGGGGCTACAAGTACATGCCACCATGCCCAGCTAATTTTTTTATTTTTTGTAGAAATGGGGTTTTGCCATGTTGCCAAGACTGGTCTGGAATTATTATATTCTGTATATTATATCCCGTATATTTTTAGAATATCTTGTGGTCAGGAAATAGCCATTTGCCTGTGCCTTCCAAAGTGCTGGGATTATAGGCATGAGCCACTGTGCCTGGCCTATGGCGGCCTTTTAATATATTGCAGTTTAATAGTTCCCCCATTCCGTTTTATAGTAATACTATTTACTGGTTAGTATTATAATTTGAAACAGTAAAAAAAAAAAAAAAAAAGTGTCTTATAAGGAAATACTAATAAAACCTTTATTTTTATTTTTTATTTTCTGAGGCAGGGTCTCACTCTGTTGCCCAGGCTGGAGTGCAGTGGTACAATTTTGGCTCATTGCAGCCTCATACTCCCCAGCTTATACAATTCTTCCACCCTTCAAATAGCTCAGACTACAGATGTGCCACTATGCCTGGCTAATTTCTGTATTTTTTGGTAGAAATGGGGTTTTGCCACATTGCCCACGCTGATCTTGAACTCCTGAGCTCAAGAGATCCTCCCACCTCAGTCTCCCAAAATGCTGGAGGCATGAGCCACAGTGTCCAGCCAAAGCCTTAATTTTATTCTGAAGTAGGAGAAGTATCTCACTGCTTGTTTAGCGTAGTGAAAATACTTTCTCAATTTATGAAGCATGTCAGCTTATGCCCTTTTAACTTTTTATTTTGAAATAATTATAGATTCACAGGAAGTTGCAAATAAATGTACAGAGAGGTTCTGTGCAACTTTCACTGATCCTCCTTCATTGTTAACGTCTTGAGTGACTAGCAAACATCTCTAATAACTATGAAAATCAGGGAATTGACACTGGCACAATCCACAGAGCTTATTCACATTTCGTGTTATACTTGTACTGTTTGCGGGGGGAGTGGGGAGGAGCTATATGCAATTTTATCATGTCTAGCTTTGTATAAGCATCATTTATCAAAATACACATCTGAGCCATCACCACAAAGCCTCATTGAGTTATTTTATAGCCACGTCTACCCCCTTTCTATCCCTGCCTGATGCCTGGCAACTGCTAATTTATTTTCCATTTCTGTAATTGTTATTTCAGCGTGTTATGGAAATGAAATCATGTAGTATATATCTTTTTTAGACTTTTTTTTTCCCTTCCACTTAGCACGTTTTCCTTAAGACTTATACAAGTTGTTTCATGTATCAGTAGTCCTGTTTTTTTGTTTTTTTTTTTAATTGCTTAAAGTGTTCCATGGTGTGGCTGTATCATAGTTTCATCATTTGCCTATTAAAAGACATTTGGATAGTTTTTACTTTTTTGACTTTTACAAGTAAAACTGCTTGGATATTAGTTTTCATTTCTTTGAGATGCATGTGTAAGAGTGCAACTGCTGGGTTCTATGACACATTCACTTTTAGTTGTATTAATAAAAACTGCCAAACTTTTTCAGATACTCAGATACCATTTTATGTTCTCACCTGCAGTGTAGGAAACTTCAGTTTCTCTGAATCCTTACCAGCATTTGTGTTGCCACTAATTTTTGTTTTAGTCATTCTAATCAGTGTGTGGTGATATCTGGGGTGTTTTTTTGTTTTTTTTTTTTCTCTTTTTTTAAAGAGAGACAGGGTTTCACCGTGTTAGCCAGGGTGGTCTCCATCTCCTGACCTTGTGATCTGCCTGCCACAGCCTCCCAAAGTGCTGGGAATACAGGCATGAGCTACCATGCCTGGCCAATACCTGGGGTTTTAATGTGCATTTCCCTAATGATGATGCCTATTGTCAAGATAACCAAATAATTTACCTTAAAAAAAAAAAAAAAAAAAAATAGCTGGTTGCAGTGTCTCACAGCTGTAATCCCAGCACTTTGGGACGCTGAGGCGGGCAGATCATGAGGTCAGGAGTTCAGCCTGGCCACTATGGTAAAACCCCGTCTCTACTAAAAATACAAAAATTAGCCAGGTGTGGTGGTATGTGCTGTAGTCCCAGCTACTTGGGAGGTTGAGGCAGAAGAACCGCTTGAACCTGGAGATGGAGGTTGCAGTGAGCTGAGATGACGCCACTGCACTCCAACCTAGGCAACAGAACAAGGCTCTGTCTCAGGAAAAAAAAAAAATTGTAATAAAATCTTTTCTTTTTTTTTTGAATAATATGTACTCAGGCATTTAAATCTCTCACTTGAGAGATGTTTCATAGGTCTCAGTATAGAGCTTTGTGTCTTCAGGAAGAGTTCATTTCATAATTCTCTTTTTAGGTTCGACTGAGTGAAACAGACTTCAAAGTTATGGCAAGAGATGAGTTAATTCTAAGGTAAAATGTTCTTTTTATCAAAAATTTTTCTATAGAACATTGTATTATGACTCCATACTGTAATATTTGTCTTTATGCCAAATACTGTTTTTAATGTTGTTACGTCGTCAAATAATTTAAGTACTTTTTGAACGTATTTCCTGTGACTTGTTTCTTCATTATGTTAACACTGAGGAAAACGTAGCACTTTAAAGAACTGCTAAGAAGCTATAAGTTTGACAAATCCATGGCTTGTTTTGTGTAGTTTTTCCTTTTGTGTTTAACATTTGAAAAAAAAAAAAATCCTAAAAGATGCATTTATATTTTTGGAAGAAATACATAATTTTCTAATGAAATGAGTTTACTTTTTCTTATTATTGTGACCTTGACCAACTCATTTGACTTCATACGCATCATTTTCTCATCTGTAAGTTGAAGGGGTTGAGTTACTTTTAAAGGTTACTTCCAGTTCTGAATTTCCGTGGTTATATTATAAATGTCTTACAAAAGCAGATTGTCAGGTACAGCGTATAATCTTTCTGGAGTGTGTAAGAAATCAGGAAGTAGGATATTCTGTGTTTTATAATTTACGTATATTCTTTCTGTATATTATTGCTATGGTTAGTAAGTTTCTGGATGACTTTTAGATGAAAATAAAATGAGTATTTTTATTTAATAGGCTGAAAGCGGGGGAGAGAAAAGATGTTTTGTGAGATAGGGTAACAAAGAGTTTGTTGTTTCCTAGAGTGTAACAGTTTCCTCCTTTCACCTTTGCATAACTACTGTATTATAAACACACTCTTATCTTTTTTTGCCATAATCTCGTACATGGGACAGTTTCCATTGTATACCTTTATCTTCCTGCACATAAAGTTTAAATCCTTGGTATTCTAAAACACTCCTGTCTTCTGTTGAAGTAGATACTCACTTGTGATATACGACTACTCCTCGATGCTGGTTTGTTTTTTTTTAATGTACATATAAGTTATAATAGAGGTGAGGTCTTGCCATGTTGCTCAGGCTGGTCTTAAATGCTTGGCCTCCTAAAGTTCTGGGATTCAGGCATGAGCCACCATGCCCAGCCCTGACTTTTTTTTTCCCCTTCCTACAGTATTATGCACTTCTTTTTATGCCTTCTTGCATAATTGCTGTAGTCTGTGCAGTCATTTTTTTAATTTAACTGTAGGAGGGTAAAATCAGTAATCATAATAACGAATCATAGAAATGTTTTATTTTAAGATACCTTTAAGGTTTCTAAATCATATGCAGTAGTGTATATTCTTGCAGTCACTTTAACATCTTTCCTTAGGGAATTCTCAGTAAGACTTTTAGGTGAGTTCTTTTCTGATTAATTCCCTTGATGATTTCAGACCAGCTGCTACTTATTTAACTAGTCTATGCTTTCTATCCTTGTGATATACATGTTCTTGCTTTGTTTTTATATTTTTCTGTTCTTCTAAAATAAATCGTTCTTTTATAGCCTCCACAGAAGACCTTTTCTATAAATCCCCAAATATTTGGTAAACTGTATGTGTCCTAGGTTGTAAGTGCCATAAAAATAAGCATGGCTATGGCTGAACAGTAGTGTTTATATAGAAAATGGATTAGTTTGGTATTAGGAAGTACTTTTTGTTCATTATGTTGTGATGTTAATAAGTTAACAGCAAGCCTGTTTTTAA